GCGCACATTGTTATTAAAGTATGCGAATGAAACATTGTCATCATTGTCAACTAAGCAATTAGCATTGTCACTTTCTCCGTTTTTTGGAATGGACCATCGTCACAACGAGAATTAACCACTTCATCATCTGACCCGAGACTGCCTTGTGCTCTTTGATAGGATTATGGAGCAGATTTGGCAGTGAATGGGTTAACCTCTGTTTTTGTCTTACAGTGGGAAAGGATGGTTGTTGGTTGTCACTTTTTTCAGACCATGGGAAGGAAATGTAATTTCTGTTACAAACTAGGAATGAGCCGTGGTTACTTTTTCACTTGAATAATCGACAATTATTATGTATTGTTATTTCCTAACACTGGAAACGAGCCAGCAGTATTTTCTATCACTGGGAATCAACCTGTATTCCTTTCTCGCTCTGGAAATTGATCATTATTCTTTTCCCTTCTGCGGCTTTTTTTTCCTCACTGGAAATACTTTCAGTATTACTTTCTCAGACTGAAAAGGAACCAGTTCTACCCTCATGGTTCGTAAAATGAATTTAGTCCTCCTTACTCCTAGAGGGTTTGCTTTCGGATATAGTCCCTCTCCCCTCACCCCCACCCCCCTTCCGAGAAAACACATACGGGTGATTGGCATGTGCTCTGGTGTAGTTTGCTCCTTCTTTCCTGTCAAACATCTGTCTTCTTAATCTCTCTTCTTTCTTTATTGTGTTTGCTACTCTCTTGTAACACCTCTAAGTTTCGGCACTTATATGACCCAATCGTGATGCAAGTGCCGTAAAACTCTTACGAAAACTAAACTACAGGAGTGGGTCACGATGTAATAAACAGACATGACCAGCAGAAGGAACATCCTCTCTCTATTTTTTTCTGTTCTTCTCGCCTTCTCACTTTTACGACTGGCCCAAATAATCCATGTTTTTGAAGCCCCTTCTCATGTCAAGGAGAAGATTAAACAAGAGCAAAGAAAATCCGCAATTAATTCTGTCTGGTTGCCACCACCTCCCC